CCAAAGAAGGAGCCGGGGAAATTCCGGCTCATTCACCACCTCTCCTACCCAAAAGGGGAGTCGGTGAATGACGGTATTGATAAGGACCTATGCTCGGTCTCGTATGCATCATTCGACCGGGCGGTCGAGCTGGTTAAACGGGCCGGGCATGGGGCACTTATGGCAAAAGTGGATATTGAGGCGGCGTTTCGGCTGCTGCCAGTCCACCCGGACTGCCACCACCTGTTGGGATGTTTTTTCGAGGGAAAATATTTTGTGGACTTGTGCCTCCCTATGGGCTGTTCTATTTCATGCTCCTATTTCGAGAAATTTTGTACTTTTCTCGAATGGGTGGTGCGGGTCGAGGCGGGGAACCGTTCGGTGGTGCACTACCTGGACGATTTCTTTTGCGTGGGGCCGGCTGCCTCCTCGGCATGCCAGCAACTGCTTAGGACCGTGGAATGGGTGGCGGGCCACTTTGGGGTGCCGCTGGCAGCGGATAAGACGGAGGGCCCGACGACGTGCCTTAGTTTCTTGGGGTTAGAAATAGATTCTATCTTGGGTGAATGCCGACTGCCTCGGGACAAGTTGGAGGGGCTCAAGGGGGCGGTAGCTGCGGTGACCGTTGCGCGCAAAGTTACGCTGCGGCAACTGCAGTCGCTAATAGGGATGCTGAACTTTGCATGCCGTGTAATTCCTATGGGGAGGGTTTTCAGCCGCAGCCTGGCGGCTGCTACGGCAGGAGTTCGATCCCCGCATCATTTCATACGGGTGTCAGCAACCATGAGGGCTGATTTGGGCGTGTGGGATGCCTTCCTGCAGGATTTCAACGGGACGGTGTTTTTCAGGCGGGCGGGTAAGTCGGCGGCGGAGTTGGAGCTCTTCACGGATGCTTCGGGTAGTGTGGGCTTCGGGGCCTACTTTGGCGGGAGATGGTGCGCGGAGCGGTGGCCGGAGGCATGGGGGTCTAGCCCAGTCATGCGCAACCTGGCTTTTCTGGAATTATTCCCGTTGGTCGTTGCAATGGCACTATGGGGCAAAGGGCTCCGGGATCAGAAAGTGGTCTTTTTCTCGGACAACATGGCGGTGGTGCATGCGGTGAATAATCAATCGGCTGCCTCTAAGCCGGTGGTTAGGTTGCTGCGGCGCTTTGTGTTGATGTGTATGTCACGGAATGTTGTGTTTCGCGCGCGTCATGTCCCTGGGTACCTGAATGAGGTGGCTGACGCTCTGTCTCGTTTTCAGTGGTCCCGATTTTGGTCGATGGCGCCAGGAGCATTGAAGGAAGGGGAGGCTTGCCCGGACGAGATATGGCAGCTGGGAGCGTCCTGCTTGGGGGACTTGTGAAGGCTTCACTGGCACCGGCCACATGGGCCTCCTACAGTAAGGTCTGGGACTCTTGGGAACGATAATTAGACGGGTTGGAGCATGGCTTACGTGGGGATGCGCTGCGGGACGCTTTTCTATGGTACACCTGCCAATTGCTGGCAAAGGGGGCGTCCCCGGCAGTGGTCGACAGGTCCATGGCGGCAATGGCGCTCTGGTTCCGATGGCGCGGGTCGGAGGATCTGACTAAGACCTTCCTAGTACGGCAGGCACTGAAGGGTTATCGAAAGGGCCGCAGGACCTGTGACTCTAGGCGCCCGGTGTCGGTACGGGTATTGGGGGATCTGGTGGGTCGGTTGCCGGAAATTTGTTTCAACGGGTTTGAGGTCTCTCTGTTCAGAGCGGCTTTTCTCTTGGCATTTTTCGGGGCGTTCCGCGTGGGGGAGCTGGTGAGTGCCAGTAGGGTGGTGCCCGGGGGTCTGCAGGCATCAGGGGTTCGTGTTTTGGAGGGTAAGGTGGTTGTGCATCTGGGTAGTTCTAAGACGGACGTCCGTGGCGTGGGTAGGGACGTTACGCTATGGGCTCTGCCGGGCGCAGCATTGTGCCCGGTGGCTGCAGTGGCGGAGTACATGGCTCGGAGGCCGGCGGTGGGGGGTTCCTTCTTGGTACATGCGGATGGTTCTTCCCTGTCCCGGTTTCAGTTTACAAAGGTTTTTCGGGCCGGGCTAGGTAAGTTGGGGCTTCCGGCCGGACGTTTTGGTACTCACTCCTTTCGCATTGGGGCGGCCACGGAGGCCGCACGGTTGGGATTAGGAGATGAGGTCGTGAAGCGCATAGGGAGATGGGAGTCGGTGCGGTTCCGCTCATATGTGCGGTTGGGCTTATTGGAATAAAAAAAAAAAAAAGGGAAAAGGCAGGTATATGTTTATATATGTGTATGTATAGATATGGTGCGGGGGCGGACATGGACGGAGGAGTCCTCTTTTGCCTTTCCCTCATGCTTGTTTTCTTCTTCTCCCCAGGACGGGTTGCTTGGATTGTGGGACATTCTTTTGTCTTCTGGGCCGAGAGGAGGGCCGCAGCTCAAATGCAGGGCCAGCAGCTGGGCTTTCCGAAGGACCAGTTGACAGTCCGATGGTTTGGGTACAGGGGATTTTGCTGGGGGGAGGTTTGTGGGGCAATGTTTAGGATGGTGGTGGGCGGGAGGACACCGGACATGGTGGTCCTTCATGCTGGGGGTAACGACTTGGGCCTCACGCCACAACGTCGGTTGGTAAAGTGGATGAAGCAGGACATCAACAAATTGAGGGACCTGCTTCCGGGGGTTATGTTAGTGTGGTCGGAGATTGTCCCAAGGCGTCGATGGCGGCACGCGCGGGATCCGGTGGCGATTGATCACTGCAGGAAAAAGGTGAACAGCTTAATGGCGAGCTTCGGTAGGAAGATGGGAGGTGTGGTGGTACGGCACAGCGAGTTGGAGGAGGGGTTGCCGGGGTACTACCGCTCGGACGGGGTTCACCTTTCGGAGGTGGGTTGGGATCTGCTCAACTTGGGTTGGCAGGTTGGTATGCAGCGGGCGCTGTTTCTTCGGGGTGGCGGAGCTCAGACGGCTTAAGGGGTCAAGGTCTGAGCTTATGGCGGGACGGGGAGCTGAAGGAGAGGAAATAGGCTCCCCAGGATGAACGTAATGGAAGACAAACAAGTGGTGGTCATTGGTGGTTGATAGGTTTCGAGTCCTGTCGGTGGCTCAGAACCTGGTGGGGTAGGGGTATCCGGGTATACCCCTGCCGTGGTTAATGGATGGTTGGCACTTTACATCGATTGGAATAATGTTGATGTATGCTATATATATATGTTTATTTATATGGGGGTCATTGCCCTTTATATGTTAATGGAAGGAATAGGATGCGAGGGCGGAGTATGGGGGGCAATGACCCATGTTTACTTGTTAAGTTATTATTATGATTATTATTGTTATTATTATTGTTTGCTAAATAAAGCTGTGGACATATTTCCCCATATCCTCTAGTATGTGCGTTATTGGGTTGGGTTATGGGGTGGTTGTCCTGGATTCCGACTGCCCAAAATGGCGACTATACACCTGTCATGTAGCCCCATGTAGCCAAGCGCAGCTAAGCGTAAAAAGGCCTTGACAGGGGTTAGGAGGCGGGCCTAGGAGGAAGTAAGCAAGGGAGTGGAGTTATGGGTAAGTGGGTTTGGTTATTTAAATGGGCAGCCATTTTAGGTAATTCATTCTAACTTCCTACCTGGTTAAGTTTGTCCCTCCCACCCTCCCTGTTTTGTTATGTGTGGTTTTGTCCCGTTTTTTTCACAGCGGCGGGACGGGGAGCTGAAGGAGAGGAAATAGGCTCCCCAGGATGAACGTAATGGAAAACAAACAAGTGGTGGTCATTGGTGGTTGATAGGTTTCGAGTCCTGTCGGTGGCTCAGAACCTGGTGGGGTAGGGGTATCCGGGTATACCCCTGCCGTGGTTAATGAATGGTTGGCACTTTACATCGATTGGAATAATGTTGATGTATGTTATATATATATGTTTATTTATATGGGGGTCATTGCCCTTTATATGTTAATGGAAGGAATAGGATGCGAGGGCGGAGTATGGGGGCAATGACCCATGTTTACTTGTTAAGTTATTATTATGATTATTATTGTTATTATTATTGTTTGCTAAATAAAGCTGTGGACATATTTCCCCATATCCTCTAGTATGTGCGTTATTGGGTTGGGTTATGGGGTGGTTGTCCTGGATTCCGACTGCCCAAAATGGCGACTATACACCTGTCAAGATTGTTTCTAATTTCTTTTTGAGCTAATCCATTAATTGGACACATTGGTAGCTGTAATGTATGTAAAGTAACAGGTCCTCCCTATGGAAAAATCTCAAGTTTTTATTCTGTCGTAACTAAGGAGTAATTTGACATAAAAGGAATGCATTACATGTCACTCAAAACAAATGATGTACCTACTAAATTGCCCCTGTGAGCTACAGTATGTGGGGCAAACTAAAAGAATGTTAAGAGTAAGGTTGAATGAACATTACACAACATGAAAGAAGGTTTGAAAAACACTCTGTATCTAAACATTTTGCAGACCATCATGCAAATAATCCAGGATGTTTGAGCTATTGTGGGATTGAAAGGGTTACTATCCCATGGAGAGGTGGTGAATTGGTTAAAAAGTGTTAAAAAAAAAAATATATATGTTAAACATATGATAATCCTTCTAAGAATATATCCAATTTTATTTAAATATTAACATACAACTTTTAGACATAATGAGGTGTAGATATTAACTTGTGGAGTGATACAACACATGAATTATATCGAACATCTATATATCCACACAATATTTGAGTATGTACGGAGTCTTTAAAGTATATTATTAATGGTTTTTTGCCAAGTCTACATTTACATTGATATGAAATTTTCAATGAATAAGTTTCTTATATAAATAATGATGTCCTTATATGTTTACATCTACAAGGTATTTGCATATGTGTTTTTTTTTTTATGTGAAAATATTTACTAACTTTACGGTATACAAGAGAAACAGGAGCACTTTTCCTGGAAAGAAAAATATTTTATTACAACCTGGCACTTTAAAAGTGGTCTGATGCGAACCTATATAAGACTAACTTATGAAGCCGCGCACTATCTTGAAAAAGCCCAGGTTATTAGTGCGAAACGCGTTGAAGTGCTAGCGGCTTCTGTTTGAAAAGGGTGAATACGAAGGGATTGCCGACACCGGTCCGCATACTTGGCGTCTCTCCAAAAGCAACTGTCAGCTGCACAGTAGGGAGATTTAAGTCTGACCGAGAAGATAAGGACGGGCAGTAACATCTATTCCATTCGTATAAAACCCATGTTTGTTTGTGGTGTCTTGGCAACAAGTACCACCATTAGTCCATGTAAGGGTTCGCTTTGGGGGGGGGGAGAGGTTTTTTTACTTTTTTAATAATTAAAAACAGTGTTGCACTATGAGGATCTTTTTAAGGTCCCATCTGTTGCGGCATACATTGTATCCCAAAGCAGTGGATTTTACCGATGTGGCGAGATTAACCCCTGCAATACCAAAAGGACTCTGGGACAATATTATATATTTGTTTTAGGAAGAACACATATTGACCAAATAATTGTGGAGAATGTTTAGGTTTTGTATAGAACTGACATTTTAATGCAATAAGTGGTTGTTATTTTTTTCTTCCCCACTTACTACTTTTAGGGTGCCCAGCATATAACTGTGGGCTTCTCTGATATAGCGCTAACACAATTATTAATAGATTGTATGTGGAAATCGAATGTTTCCAGTGTATTTTTAGCTGCTTTTTTATTATTATTTACATATTGTTTACTATACTGTTTTTTACTAAGTGATTGCGCGCCCTTATTTTTATACATCTATATAGGATTAACGATAACATGACCCTAGGTCCCAGTGGTTTGACATTGGCCCAGAACTATGAATTTGCTTGGTTCTATCCACTATCTTCATGTGAAGAAAAAAAATGGGGGTCACCAATCCAATAACTTACCTAGGGGACTGTAGGATCTTAATCCTTTTCAACCCACTAAACAACTCCTATTTTGCGTGGCCCAAGGGTCAGTAAAGTCAGGGTAGAAATGAAAACATTAATACAGCGTAGGCACGTGGCCACAGCGATACCATAGAACGAAAGACAGGAAGGCATGGACATATGGTGGGAATACAGTATAAAACCCGCACTCCGATTACTGCACACACATGAAACATGACAGGGGCTCACCGCCTGGATCCAAGGCCCCAAATTAGGGGAGCATTCGTAGAAACAGGTGTCTTGGATGAAGTGTTTCTTGCATTCCGGGGACATTGCTCCACAGTGGTTCCAGTCAAAATTGTAGAGGTAGGACTGGTCACTGTGCGCCTCTTGGCTGATTGCTGGCGTACAACAGGACTTCTCCTTCCAAGGGGTGCACTGGGAGCAGAAAAGGATCAACAATTAACAGCTTATGGATTACACGGTTTCCCTGAACATGGTCCCCTGTCCCTATACTCCCGCTCATGTTGTACTATAACTCCAGCCATTAAGTTATGGTATATTTCGCTCATTGCTGTCCTATGATACACAGTGCAGGAGCAGTTATACTATGTGCATCACTCAGAGGTTCCCCTCCTCCTGAAAGGCATTTCCTGTGTGAGAGGCTGTTCGTGTTCAGATGATGCCTGGTCTGATTGGGTAACCCCATGCACCAGTCAGATCATGCATTAACGCATACCCCCGATGCATTATCTGATTGGTTCTAGAAGATGTTAGCACTCACCCTAAACAGACCAATCAGATCATGCATCGGGGGTATGCGTTCATGCAGGGCTGCAGCACTGCCTGGGCCGGCGCGTCCATGAGCGTGCAAGATATGAGGGATCAGCAGGAGGGAAGTGCACGGTGCTCCCTCCAGTCAGTCCCTCAGTGTAGCATGGCCATGCCTCGGTGCGGTTCGCGAGGATCCGTTTCCTGTACCTGACCAGACTCACAGGAAGTACTCTGAGTGAGCACGACCGGGTACAGGAAAAAGAAACTCCTGTACCGCGGACCGGAGCTCTGCCACGCTACACAGGGTATGAGGAGAACAGAGAGAGAGCGCGCAAAAGAGAAAAAGAGCGCGCGAAAGAGCGAAAGAGAGCGCGCGAAAGAAAGAAAGAGCGAAAGAGAGCGCGCGAAAGAAAGAAAGAGCGAAAGAGAGCGCGCGAAAGAAAGAAAGAGCGAAAGAGAGCGCGAAAGAAAGAGCGAAAGAAAGAGCGAAAGAAAGAGCGAAAGAAAGAGCGAAAGAAAGAGCGAAAGAAAGAGCGAAAGAAAGAGCGAAAGAAAGAGCGAAAGAAAGAGCGAAAGAAAGAGCGAAAGAAAGAGCGAAAGAAGGAGCGAAAGAAGGAGCGAAAGAAGGGAGGATTTTGTGTGGGATTGTCTGTGTGTATTGTACGGATTGATTGGTTGTATTTCAAAACCCTGTGGGCAGTGCTATGTTTGTGGATTGTGAATAAAAGGCTGTATGTGCCAGTACAGTCAGTTCTACTTCACCCTCAATTTGGAGTGCCGTCTCTTATTGAGGGAATCTGCTACAAAGGATTGCTATGCTCTCCATACTCTCTTGCTATAATCACTGAGCTCTTGTAAGAGCTTGTTCCGGTTTTTGCTCTCTGAAGGAGTCTACGGTGGTTATGGTGTCTGCTGGAGTGCTTGGAGCCCTCAGGAAGCACTAGGAGCATCCTTCAACTGAGGTACCCAGTCAGTGTGCCAGGTGATCCGTTACAGTGGATATGTACAAATGGCTTTTGCACAAGCCGAACTGCTAATACTTTGCATACTGCTTCTGCCAAGATGAAAAGACACCTTGCATCCCTTTCACACAACCAGAAACACACAATGCATCCCTTCATCAGAGCCCATCATCACCATCCTCATCTGGTTGTAAGTAGGCAATCTGGTATGTTATTAGTGACACTAATCTGTAGATTACCTCTACATTAAAGGGACAGCTTAATGAAGTGGTTCTGGTATCTATAGCCGGTCCCTGCAGGCGTTCGTTCATATGGGTGGGGCATTATGATGTCACATGGGGGGGGGGGGCAATTTTTATTTTGCCTAGGGCGGCAAAAATTCCTTGCACCGGCCCTGCATTAATGGATGATCTGATTGGCTCACCAAAGGGTGAGCTTTGTGACATTGGAGGAACTGGGACAGCACTGAGTTTTACACCCTCTATAACTGCTCCAGCAGCTCTCCTATAAGGCTGGCAATGTCCAGGGCTCCTGGTACTCACCTCTCCTCACCAGCTTACCCAAGCTTCAAAGAGGCACGTTTTAGTGTTATAAACAGTCACCCCCAACAGGACATGTTCCTACTCTACCTAGTGAGCAATCTGGTCCTGTACGGGAGGATGTTAGATGTTTAGAAAGGTCTCACCTGTCCGTGTAAGTTGTCTTCGGGTCCCGGTTCAGTTTTCTGATGCGTCCCATTCATGCAGACATCCAGATAATTATTACCTGCGCAGTCTGCACACAGCGCACATGCCATTAGGATGACACACCACAACATGATGCCTGGAGGATCCACCAAGACTCCTTACCCAGAAGCACTGAAAACATATGCACATGGCAAGTAAATTGTCCAAAATTATAAGGAATTATCGGTAACAGTCTATGCACCATCGTATAGTGCTTTTAAAACGGCTCTGATCTAAATCTCATCCTCCGTTCAACCCAACACCTTTTATGAAAAGTGAAAAATTACTTCTAAACATGCTTTGGCCATTGTGGGCGCAGCATCAAAGAGCTCAGATAAACAATTCTTGTTTACGGTACGGCAGAAAACTGGCAGTGCCCTACAGATTGTGTAATCCGATTGGCTGCTAATCCTGCCAATCTCTGTCTCTCTGCCGCCAAGCCTTTTGATCAGTAATGGGCATTGATGGCGCAGGGCCAGTGGAAGAAGGCCGCCTCCACGCTGATTGCGCAAGATTCTTAAACCTGCAGTCACAGCTAAATATGCAACAATGGGGTATGTGTCGGTTAAGCATTGCAAAATGTAGGACAGAAGAACGGATTTGGGAGAATGGTCTAATTTACGCTATAGTCACAGAATGACTATTTTAGCCTAAATTTTATAATTCAGGATTTAGGGTAAAACAAAGTCTGTCTCCCCAGATGTTACTGAACTACAAATCCCATGAATAGCATCGGGCCAGAATCTAAGATCCCTCGTATAAATCCTTCCGTGAAAACACAATTCAAGAAATAATAACTATACATTGTGCCGGCAGAAGTATAACAAAACGTATAAGCCGGCTGAGTCAAAGACTAGGCTTTAAAGTGGGAGCTGCACTACAATCCCCACAATTCACAGCTGGCTAACAGTTTTGGTTTGGTAAAGATACTTTAGTGTAATATGGCTAATTCCTTAGTCTGTACCCCCCCCCCCCAGTTTGTAATATGGCTAATTCTTTAGTCTGTGCTCCCCCCCCAGTTTGTAATATGGCTAATTCCTTAGTCTGTGGCCCCAAGTTTAAAGGGACACAGTTTAATCACTATACAGAACTGAACTGGACGCCAAATTCTAACATCAGGATAAAATATCGCGGCTACAGAGAGTTTCCCTTGTTACGGTCCAAGTATTGCGATTTAGGATTTAAAGTTTGGCTGTAGAGGTTTTACACTAAAGTCAGAATTGTTCTAAATTAAAATCCAAATTCTTAGATTTAGCATAAAATAGTGGAGCTCTGACAATAGTGGATATGTAAAATGTATTCAGGTCGTCGTTTACAGCAGTTTGTTAGTTTAGTAAGTGAACCAGGACGTGAATAAATCGTTAAGAGGCGCAGTTACAGCAAGTGAGGAAGAAAACATGTAGACGGGGGGAGCACATGGGCTGGTGGCGGGGAGGGGGGTATTAATATCTTAATTTAAAGAGTTATTCTTTTGATAAACAAACACAAGGAATTAAAGAAGCAATGTTAACAAACGACCTAAAATACTGAGAGTTCGCTGGATTAATCGTATCATGACTTACCAGCTTGGTGGAGTGGCAGAGATGAGCTGGCGAT